CAGTTACAAGAGACTGCAACAGTTAAGCAATTCTTGATTACTAAGGTTCTTTAAGAATGAACAAACCAGACTAATACTTTCTCTAACACAATGTTGAGGTCAATTCATTGGACATAAATTAGCTGGAGTTGAAAAAAAGAATTTTCTTTTCAAGATTTATGCTAGTGTTCAGGAAGTTTGGACTTAATTCTTTTGCTCTAATTAGAGAGTGATTCTGTTGAATACAACAGAGTTTAACTTTTGAATAATGTAGGAAATTAGTTCTATTTTAGTTCATATTTAGTTCACAGATATGTCTACTTTTTCAAGCAGTGTGAAGTAAAAACAGAAGATTTTTAAGGTGAATAGTGAAGCAACCTGATACCACTACCTGATATCCATTCTTCCTTTGAGGGTTTTACTGCAAACTAATTCTACACACACGGATCAACCACCCATCAGTCACTGGAGTGCATTGGGTACATTCTTGAAGTCTTTATTTCATATTTGTTTCATCTGAAGTTTCACTTGTTCTAGGATTGTTGTATTATGTGAACTAAAGTATGCTAGGAGAGGGTGATTTGGAGTTGACTTCAGAAATGTACTTCTGATCTTAACGAAAATGTTACTGTAGACACACCCATAACATATCTGCTATAGGAACTCAAAAAACCTCGAAGAAATAGAAGCAAGGTGATAATCCTTTTAAAACTGATTTGTAGACCTGGTTATCTAGTGCCATAAAGACCAATTTGCTCTGCACCAGAGACTTATCCCATGCTATGGTTTCAGATTTTGAATAGTGAAGGCTTAACTGTTATAGAAAAACGAGATTCTTAAAAATATATCTAAATGGAAGTTGACGTACAGTTGATCTTAATTTAGAATTAATTGTCTTAGTGACTACTTTCTAAATATAGAAATATTCCACTTTTACAAGAAAATAAAAAAAATATTGAAAAATCCTGAAAACAAATCAAAAGACAAAATTGTGAAATCTCTGTAATTATTTTCTTTTAATTATTTGTAAGAAACTGAATGTTATCTGAAATTGATCTTTTATAAGTCTAGCCATTTAAATAACTACTAGTTTCTGTTGGGAACATATTAATGAAAGTTTTAGACTTTTAAAGATAATTTACAATCAGCTAACTAACTGAACCTAGATTTTCTAGTCTACAGTTGAAGAATGAAAAATATATTGAAAACATTTACTGATAATAGTACATATGTTTAACTTTGAAAATTAGTTAATTAAATTTCTTTCCCATGTGCCAAACTCTACATTTGCCCTTGTTGAATTTCCTAAGATTTCTCCCCACCCAGCCCCCCAGCCTGTCTAGGTTTCTCTTAATGGCTGCACAGCCTTCTGGTGTGTCAGCCACTCCTCCCAGTTTTGTGTCATCAGCAAACTTGATGACAACGCTCTCTAATCCCTCACCCAGATCACTGATGAATATTTTGAAAAGCACTGGCCCCAACACTGACCCCTGAGGGACCCCACTGGACACAGGCCTCCAACTAGACTGCCGTTTTGACCACAGTTGTCTGACTTTTTTCCTTCAACCAGTTAACAACCCACCTCACTAAAAAAGAAATAAAGTGATTGTGTTACCATCAACCCAGGAAGCAGCAAGTGTAGGCTGTCCTGCAATGGAAAGGTGCTAGGAATGGGAAGTGATAGTAACCTCGGTGATGAGGGATGCTGTCCCACAGCACTCACGCAAGAAGTGCAGAATGGGCCTGGGACAGTACTCACAGCCAGTCAACTGTCCAGTGGTTTCCAGGCAGGGCTACAGTGAGGAGGCAGGTCCTACGAGCAAGCCAAATATTTGGATCAGGTTCAAGGTCCAAGTAAGGAAGATGTAAGATCCAGTACCAGCCCACTTGCAGCATAGCCAAGGTGAGGACCAAGGGCAAGAGCCTGAGCTTAAATGCAGCTCTTAAGTGAGGGGACGGAGTGGGGAGCACCAAGCACCCCCAAAGCTCCCTCTCTGTTCTTTTCACAGCGGGAGGTAGCCAATGAGATGTAAGGAGTGGGGTGTGGGGGCGGAGAAGTGTATTTAAGATTGAGTTGTATGTATTGATGCATTCCTCTCACATTTACTCACATTTACTTCGTAAATGGTGGTGGTGAATTAAATCTGTTTTTCTCCCCAAGTTGCTCTGATTCTTCACCTGTCATCTTAAATGGTAAACTATGACCCTCCCTACCCTTAATCTCAAACTCTTGAGCCTTTTTAGTTGAATTGTCTTCCTCTACATCACTGTTGAAATGTAGGTGGGGGGAGGAGTGAGCTGGAGACTGAGTGGTTTTTGTCCCAATTGGCTCTGAACTACGACACACTCTCATAATAATCTTTCAGTTGCATAAAGATAATAATGATTTTTATGTAGACAAAGCATCAACTGTTACAATACCACTGATTAGTTATTTTGAAATAGCTCAGAAGTTTTATCTCATACAAATTTTCTGAGGTAGCACATTTTCTTTTCCAGTAAAAATGAAGCTTGTATATACCAGAACTGTGCGTATTTACATGAGTGGAGAGAAAAATATTTTATAAATGGGCAAGAATTCTCCTGCATTAGACATGCAATAGATTTCTTTCTGAAGTGTTTAAAAAGAAAAATAACCTTTTATAAACTACTATTTTATTAATACTTGATAAAATCTCATTATGAAAAACATGTAAATTTCTGAATACACAGTAATATAGTGTATAGATCTTTACACCTGATCATAGTGACAAATATAATAGCAGCTATAATGGATATAGCAGTTCAACACTGCTACCTTAAAATAAAATATGTTAAATGATCTAAAATACACATTTGGTAGCACATTATCTAATGGTATCACTGAACTTCATGAGATTCTGAAGATAATGGAATGGTCTTGAAATAGAAAGACTATGAGCATTCTGTAACAAGGCTAGTAGGCTAGAAGTTTTCTTGGAGCTCTATGTCCTTTTTTCTTTTTTCTTTTTTCTTTTTTTTTTTTAATAGGGAATTAACTCCCAGAGTGGAAATACAGACAGCGAAAAAGGAGATAGAAATGAGAGGACTTGCCCGGCTGTGGATTTAGGTGGTTAGAATACTTCAACTGTTTGAAGATAGAATTGAGATTCAGTAATTAAATTAAAACAAAAAGTATTATGAGAGGAGGATTGAAAACTAATTTTTACCCTTTCTGAGTTTAATATTCTAAGCCATTAGTCTGCTGTTAATACTACTGGTTAGTCATACTCCACATCTTTCCAGTATATTCAAAGGCTTGAATAGTCCTGGTTACTCTGCTGCACGAAGGTCATTGGGACAGGATCACATGCACAGCCATTTACTAATAGGACATAGCTAAACTTTAGATGATTTAATTCCAATTTAGGTGACAATAGGAGAGACTGAATACCACCCTTTGATATTTTCTTATAATCTTCAACAGCTCACCGAGTCACTTAATATTCTCCAGCTCAAGATTTCCACAAACAGTATCTTTCCTGCTCTATTGTGATCTTTCAAGATAGTCTAAAGTATACTCCAAAATATTTTTAAAGTACATAAAGGAAGAGGAGGACATTTAATGAAAATATATAAATAAAACAGTATCATAATCCAAGTGCATTTTAGATATAAACCAGATGTATATAGGTGTAGAAATACACACATTGCTGTGTCCGTCCACATGTTGTGTAAAAATGAAAACAATGTAAACAAATATTGAAATATAAAAAAGGCATTATAGGACTAAAAGGGAAGCAAAACATTATATTTAAAGCAAAGTAAATTGCTACTAACTCAAAGCTATTGACAATTTCTAGGATATTAAACATCATATTTTGGGCATTTTCAGTGTGAATCCAAGAATTATCTTCATAATCTTAGTTTGATTTTCTTTCTATTCTGTAATCACTCATCTCCTTGCAATAAAATTTGCCAAATATATTGAAGGGCCACAAAAAGGTTTTTCTATCAATTTAAGAGTCCTGGAGGACTCTGTATTCTGCTGATTTTTACTGTGATACATCAAAACCCTGAAGCATATGACTAGTGACCTTTGCTTTTCGGATATATACTTAGAAATCTAAGGTTTTAATTAAGTGTTTTGCTAAATGTATGTGAACATAAAACAGTTGAGCATGTGATGTATGGTTTCTTCACTGAAGCCACAATTCACGTGTTTATGTCTTCAGAGTATCTACTTTTATCACAAATTAATGATAATTCATTATCAGGAAAATATTCATGATTAAAGCTCATGACTAGAGCTTAGATGTTTTAGTTTACTTTTAGTTTTACTGTGGATGCTCTATCCTCACAGAATCCTAGTCCAACTTGCCCTTAATTATACCAGGTTGCTCAAGGCCTCATCCAGCCTGGCCTTGAACATCTCCAGGGAGAGGGCAGCCATAACCTCTCTAGACAATCTATTCCAGAGTCTTGTCATCTTCATACTGAAGAATTTCTTCCTAAGATCCAATCTAAACCTACTGTCTTCAATTTAAATCCATTTCCCCTTGTCTATTCACTGGAAACTCTTGTAAAAAAATCCCTCTCCAGCCTTTCTGTAGCTTCCCTTCAGATATCGGAAGGCACTTCATTATTATGTGTTTTTGTCAAGAGAGTGAGGGAATATGGAAATTATGCTTTTAAGCTCTTTCTCTTCCATATGCAAGGACAATGAAATGTACTAATTGAAAATCAAATCCTTAGCTGGAATAGAAATAGGAAAAAAAGCTGACTATATTTACACTGGTGTAGTTCCAATTATTTAATTGGACTTATTATAGTTTCATATCAATGTAATTAGATATAGACCTTGCTTTGTTGTACATTTTCTATTTTTGTAATGAAACTCTGTCTGTCAACTGTATTTGCTGTGAAAACAGAAATATTTTTGTCTCATTGAATTCCTAGGCTGGCATGGAAAATACAGGTGAACCTTAAGCAACAAGCATTCTGAAGCTATCTTCAGTAATGAAGCAGATGTAAAATACAGTTCCTGTTTGCCAGTTGAAACAATGACTACAAAATCAACTGTTGGCATGTTAGTGTGCTTTCTTCAACTCTGTGTTGTAAGTGGTCAGGTAATATGTGAGAGGCAAATGACTGCTGAATGGCGAGTGGGACCAAAACCTAGCATAATAAAATGGACACCAAGGGAAAACATCTGCTCAGATTTTTACACTGAATGCTGGAATATGAATAAAAGTATTACTGGTGAAAACTCAGAAGAACAAAATCTCAATATCCCTCAGATATGCCCCTTACAGCTTCAATTAGGTGACAGTCTCTTCATCTCCTCTGAGCCATCATTTCAGTCCTATGGAATGAATTTGGTGAATGTCTCCAAGGAAGAATTTATTAACTGCCCTAAAGCTGGTTTTCTTCAAGAGCAATTTATTTTTGTTTGCCAGATAAGAGGATTGCACCAAGTTGACCCTGACTGGCTTGGTGTTGGAATTCATTACTTTGCAGAGCTTCATAAGAGAGGCCCACCTTTGTGCAGCATGGGCCTTCGTCTGAATGTAACTGTGAAGCAGCAGTTTTGCCAACAGTCTCCAAATGCACCGTTATGCTCTGGTCATGGAAAATGTCTAAGCCATGTTTGGGAAAAAGCATATACTTGCCATTGTTTCTCGCAGTATTCTGGAAGATTCTGCCAGAAGTTTGATATGTGCTCCACTAAACCTTGCCACAACAATGCCTCCTGCACTGAGAAATCAGAACTTTCTGGAGATTCGTATGAATGCACATGTCCTTCAAAATTTTCAGGTATTTCTCTTCCCCTCTAGGAGGAAATATTAGGTAGATAATGCATTTTCCTTAAGAAATAATAAAACAGTGAGAACATAATTACATGGTTTTTTGTGTAATTTGTTTTTTGTGCAATTTATCCATTGCCACTATCACACCTGCACTGAGTCTTTTTTTATGTGTAGTCACTTCTAGAAGACTCTGTAGCCATTTGAAGAGAATTTGTACTTCCTTACATTCCTGTGTGTGGGAAAAACAGAATAAGTTCTTACTATGTTTCTTTTCCACTTAAACACTAGTCATAGATGTGTACTTGTGAGCTTACAGAAGTAACTAATTTTTTACTTGTTTCTGTGTTCAGCAGTTCAATTTCTTACAGCAAATAACACAAATCATTTGGAGTATGTTCCCAAAAAAACAGTTAACCAGACTGCTGAAAAATAACAGTTTTGTTGAAATGGTCATTTTGTTCAACATGCCACAATCATTCCCTTTTCAGTTTAGTGATCTTTTAAATTCTGTTAGAAAAAAATTTGCTTCTAATTGAAAAGTCAGACTTTTAAGTAGAGGAACAAGGAAAAAAAAATTCTTACTATTTTCTTCCAGGTTGGTTTGTGCTGTAAAGTTATTTTCAAAAGGAATGTGTTAAATATACTGTTATCACCAAATTCAATATTTCATTAAATCATTAAAAAAAACCCAAACAAATCTTTTACCTAGGAAGTATTGCAGTGTTAACCCAACACCCAGTGAAGAAACTGAATCTGGGTTTGAGATTGGACTACCAGAGAGTACAGAGATTAGATACGTTCTTATCTAACCATTATCTCCACTTCATGGAGGAAGAAAGGGAGTGAAGGAAATTGTATTGTTCTTGCATTCAGACTAAGGATTCTCAAAGTTCAGGAATCCTTTAGAAAGTATCAGAAATACTAATTCACTTCACATAAAGATTGTTGTAGCTCTTTCTGTACTTGTCTGGCAGAATTCTAGCAATTTTCCTTTGAGGGACTGTTCTTCTGCACTGTTGTAGTAGCAATGTTATGCTGTGAAACACAGCTGATGAGTCAGGAATAAGTGAGGTTCACAGAACACAGAAATGGAGGTTATGTTGCATAAAGTTTGTTGTAATTTTTTTAATTGCTTTTCAAACTGCATAATAATTTGGTTACTAATACATTTGCAAGTAGAAGATCATGCAGATATGAGTAAGTCAGTGTATGAGAAAAATGCTTTTATAATTATTCAAACTTTAGTAATATAGTGAAAAACATCAGTGGTATGCAGTGTGTTTTCTAGTTCTTTTCTGATATCTATGGGCCACAAAAAATGCTTTGAAAATAATATCAAAAACTCTCTGGTACTATTTTAATTCAAATTAATAGATTCACAAACAATTCTGTTGAAAAAAAATCATGCTTGATGTTATCAACAAGAAATGCTTAAAATATTCTGTTAGCCTATAATGGACACTGTCGGCTGATGCCATCATTTTGCATTGACAATACTCGTCCAGTAAATAAACTGTATGTAAACAGAAGATCTAGGAGATTAAATTGTCATATATTATGGGCATGGTTACACAGGAAGAAAAAAATGCCTCCTTTTATATAAAGTCTATTAGAAATTTGAAAAGTTGTTGAAGTATTAATAATGTCATAGCAACAATTCAAGTGGCGAGCATAATTATATGGTATTTAGACCCATATGCTGTAATGGCATAAACAACTAATAGTTAGAATTGTAACTTCCAGAAAGCTGCATATTAAGGAAAATTCAGTCAAATTGGATTCCACATGAGAACTACTTTTGTTTGCAAGTCTGGAGGAAACTGGAAGTTAGATTCATGTCAAAAAGAAACAAATACTACAGTACTAATAACATTTCTGCATGTTAAGCTAAACGTGAATTTGTAACCATACGGCAGATGAGGTTGAACACAGTAGCTCATATTGCACTAACTGAATATCTTCCTGCCTTGCTTTAGGACTTCAGTATTTTTGGTGAAAACTAGCAATCAATATTAGCACAAATATCTGTCTAGCCATTCACCAATATAATGAATATGATATTGCATTTTACATAAAAATTACACATTTTAGGGAAAAAATATAAATATTTGCTAAAGTTCAATGCTCTTATTATCACTTTTAAATAGGTAAAAATTGTACTGAAGTAGTGGGACAGTGCCAGCCACATATGTGTCTCAACGGTAACTGCAGCAATATTACTCCAAACACTTTTCTTTGTGAATGTAACAAGGGCTTTACAGGTAAGAAAAACTTTTGTTTCCAGTCTTATAATAGTGGTGTGAACCTTTGCTTTATTAAAATAGTTATTTTAGATGATGATTGTACAGCTTGCAATTTCTTTATTTTTTAATAGATTTTGTAAGATAAAGAAACCAGAATTCCATGTGACTATTCTAAAATATTCATGTACTAAAGTAAGACTGTAAAAATGATAAAGGCATTTCAAAACTGGATCCTTGAGTACCTTTTATTGCTATGATAAAGGAAGAGTCATAATCACTAACTCACTGGTTCTCCAACAGAAAGTTCACAAGAATAGGATCAGAAGCTCTTGCTGGATGACTCAGAGTGATCACGACACCTGTATACATAATTTCAGCATGCTCTTAATAGATATGCTAGAAAAACAAGATGGAAATAATTTAGGTAGTCAATAATCTCATGATTTCGTAGTGTATCTTGGTCATAAAAAACAGCTCTCAGAAGCTAATCGGTTTACTTACATTGGACAAGGAAGATGCTTTCATGAGAAAGCTTTAATCAGAAAATATATCTAAAACCATCCTGTTGTAAACACTTTTTCACAGGAGCCAGGATAGCAGCCAGACTTAAAACACTATTCATTCTTGTGCTTCACCACAGAGATTTACTGTGTTAGTGTAAGAGAAGTAGCAATACTCAGAAGGACATTCTTTAAGAATCAGATAACCATAAAGTCAGCACTTGAATATCCAAGGACAGTAAAACATTTTAAACCATCTAATTTCTGGGAAACATCAGATATCCCTGACAGTAATAGAATATACATTAGTGATTATATTGAGTTGCAGAGTTAAAAGAAAACAAAAGAGAGTTAAAGGGATCCAAGGGCGAATCCGTATTATTGTAATGAAAGGCTGAATATTCTTTTTGAGATTTTAATTAAGCCTGTGTACAATCATATGTTTAAAAATGGGATAGACATACCTAATTCTAAATGCCTAGTAAATCTATTTTATATTACCCTTTTACTTTCCCTTCACTGTAGACAGCATCATGGTCACCGTCGTTCTGAGAAAAAGGAAAGAAAATACTTTTCATTAAAAAAAAAAAGTCCATTAGTAAAGTTTTCTAGAGCTAGCTTCCCCCCTCCATGACCTATATCTCTTTAGAGCATCTTACTCTTGTTCCTTTCACCCAAGTTGTGTTGGCACATTGCTTTTGAAATGTTCCCCACAAAAATCTTTTGTATCTTTGCAATTTTGACCTAATGAGGGAGAGGAGAGAATGAGACAGGAGGAACACCCATCCAGATACAGTAAACCCAAACCCATAATGACACAAAAACAGTTCAATGCACTGAGCTCTGGTGGATGCAGATCATTGCAATCAACTCTCCAGGTACCTGGTAAGGATGGCAAAGGAGAAAATGAGACTGTAAGTGTGAGTTATCTCCTTTTTTATTCTCCAGTTAGCTAAAATAAAATGGAGAATCCTTTCTTGTTTCTCAGAAAAATAAATATCAGGAAGGGAAGGCAGACTGTCAGTAATTTAACTCTTTTTTTTCCTGCTTTAATAAGAATTGCCTACTGTAATGGGAAAGTCCATATTACCAAAACATATCTTGCAACAGGACTGATTGACTAACGTATAGTATAATTCTGCAGTTATTCTCTGACCAAAATGTGATCATTCTATGAAAACAGGTATTTTTCTGTTGTTATTCCACCGTGTGTTCTCAGACAAAGAGTTGTATAATTATGAATCTTGTAACTCTTGTAAGTCTTGTGACTTGTCTGTGAAAATGACAGCAAATACAAAACATTCTTTGGTTTGATATTGAACTTGTGCACAGAAAACACAAATAGAATACCAAGATCATAGAATCATAGAATCATAGAATCATAGAATCATAAAATCATAGAATCATAGAATCATAGAGTCATAGGATCATAGAGTCATAGAATTACAGAATGTGTTGGGTTGGTAGGGACTTCAGAGACCATCTAATCCAACCACCCTGCCATTGCCAGGAACATCTTCCACTAGACCAGGTTGCTCCAAGTTCCATCCAACCTGGCCTTGAACATTTCCAGGGAGGAGCCTTCCACAGGTTTGTGCAAATGATGCTTAAGGTTTGATAAACCTTTGACATACCTTCTTCTCATATTATGTAAGACACAGGCAGTAATTAGTTTACATGAGCTGATGAAATTATGAAATATTCTTGTTACTGTGAATTGATGAGATAGAAATAAAATTATAAAAACAGTATTTTATTCTCATAGCTACAATTATTATTTACAAGCATTTATTCAAAGTTAGCAAAGGTTGCTGTGTTCAACTTGTGTTCACAATGATGGAATGGATCTAGCCATGTATAACTTCATCTCAGTTATGTAGTTTTATTTTTTATTAATTGTTTGTTGCTCACTGAGCTCTCAAAAACTCTCTATTCTTTCCTTAAAGAACATTCTTAACATAGCTTAATAAAAACAGCGAACACTAGCCATGACATTATTCTTATGACGGAATACTCCAGCTCGTGTCAGAATTTGTACTCTTAGACTTGTTAAGGAATGATTAGAGGAAGGTGAAAGGAAGGATGTATTATATAGACTGGTAGTCATGAACAGTTGCTAGTCAGTACTCTTTTCTAACTGAGCCCTGCATCCCACCACTGTAGTCTATCCATTCTTTTCATTAAATCATTTTTTAACTTTCTTTCCATTTAATCTCACTCTATCTCCATCTGTGAAAGCTGTAATGTCTAGATGCCAGAAACTGGAGAGAAGAAATGGACTGAATTTGGGGTCTGCAAACGGAGTTAGAGCACTGATGACAGTGGTCCTGATGTCTGTGGTCTCAGCAGCTGGGCATAATTTGGGTCTCGGCATCAGCAGCTGAAGGGAGACCACAGATTGTAGGAACATCTGTCTGCAGTGAGTGAAGTTAGTGCTGGGGAATGGTATCAGACCTTGGGTGATGGTGACTGCCATGCCTCGTGCCAGCTGGAGCATGTGATAATCCAGCATTGGCAAGTGGAGAGGGGACCAAGAGTGTATTCTTGGTGGGCACAAACCTCTGGAAAGATCAGAATGTTTATATTTTCCCTTAACTTGGTGTGTGTGTGTGTGTGTGTGTGTGTGTATCTACCCGTGTGTGTACTCATTCATATACGTGCATGTGTAACCTATCAGCAGGCTTCGAGCTGAATTGTCTGAGGAGTAGGAAGCCCAGGATCTGAGCATCAGTATTAGATGTGCTGAGGTTCAACGCTACTATTCAAAGGGTCAAGGAATGTGTCTGTCCTTTTGAACTCTAGAGTAAGGGGCTATGTTTTTTCACTAGTGAGCTTCAATCCCAATCAGACAGAGAGAAGGACTTGGATTTGGCTGGTTTTACACATGTTTTATGAGAGTTCTGGTAGCGTTGTGTGTGGGATGTTGCTAAAGGCAGCATCCTGTCTGTGAGCAGTCTACGTAGCTGGCTATGCCACTGTCCTCTGCATGTGTGCATCTCTGCCATGTTCTTCATTGCTACTGACTGAGCATGAAAACAGAATAGCAACAGCTGCAACCATTGGCCCAGGATGGACGAATTCCCACGTCTCTAGGTGTGCTCGACTGGGCTCCAGCAGCTGGGAAGCCCAAAGACCCCCCAGAGAATGTGTATTTTAAAAATTCCCTAACAAAGAAGATGTCTCAGAAATTCTCATGGATGCTGTCACCCTCTTCTGAGGATGCACAGAACATTAATGTGACTCATTAACAACCCACAGGATGTAGCAATATCTTAACTACCACTGTAATGGCAATGCTTAGTCTGCTTACCCTAGGCAGTGTGTGGTGGATGAAAAGAAGCAGTTTTCCATTTAAATATGTTTTGTCGAAGCTGGGGGACTTTTTACTCCTTAGATAGGATAATGGGAGGTAAGAGAGGTGATTAAAAACCAATCCTCTGTAGAGTATTTGAGATTATTGGATGTTTTCACATATTCCTGTAAGGGAGACCTAGATTTCGAGCCTTCCTCAATGGTTCAATTAGCCTCTTTACAGGCCATAACGACTTCTCACTTTTGGGACAGGGATACTACAAGAATTAGGTGGTTTTGCTTGGAGCCACTTTGCTAGAGCTTCCATCATCCAGGTGCTTTAGTTTAAAAAGGTCTGTTAGCTTAAGCAATGAATTACGGCTGGAGTACTTTGAAAAAGGTCATAATTGTAAAAGGGCTTCACTATATCAGTATGGAGAGAAGAATTAATTGTTTCTACAATTAGTGTTTTAACAGCCTAATTGTTCAATTTGTCTAATTTGAACACTCATAGCCCAAATTAATACCCAAAGTCTTATTAATAATAGCCCTAAAATGTTACACAAAAACATCTCCCTACTATCTATTTTTGCATTATGCTCAGCTTTCCAGTGCTCCTCTTGGTCCCAAGAGAAATATATCAATCTCCCCCAAGAAAAAGGGGCAAGACTTGAAGCAAGTCACTAGTATCTTGAGGTCTTCGTTGGGAGGAGTGTGACTTTCAACGCAGGAATTCTCTCTCCTGTCAGTCAAGGGTACATCCCAGTCTACTTTTACTTATTTTCATATCATTATCTGCTTCCTTCTCCCAGGTTGTCAGCTGCAGCCTAGCAGTTATTTCCAGCTGCACCCTGCAATGGGCTATTGTTTGTCAGGTGGTGACTAAGGTGGGGGTGAAGATGAGGCTAAGGGGCAACCTCATTAATGTTTATAAGTATGTCAAGGGGGAGTGTCAGGAGGGTCGAGCCAGGCTCTTTTCAGCGGCATCCAATGACAGGGCAAGGGGCAATGGATACAAGCTGGACTTAGGAGGTTCCATAAAAATATTAGGAAAATCTTTTTGACTGTGAGGGTGACAGAGCTCTGGAACAGGCTGCCCAGGGCAGTTGTGGAGTCTCCTTCTCTGGAGATATTCAAAACCCATCTGGACACGTTCCTGTGTGACCTACTGTAGGTGATCCTGCTCTGGCAGAGGGGTTGGACTCCATGATCTTCTGAGGTCCCTTC